GTACATTTTTATTGGTAAAGACTTCCATAACTGGCCCCTCATCCTGTGATCTGCGGGTGACAGCTGACAAGGAACATTCGACTTAGCAATGCTAACTTTCTCTACTTCCTGATAACGACTGAATCTCGTCCAAGACCGCAAACAGAAAAGTTCACGGTGTCTACCATAGTATCATTATAAGGCCTGACAAACGCAGAACAGAAGTAAAACAAAGTTTAACACAAGTAATTTAAGGGCTGGTCATACCACGCATAAAATCAGTCAAACCCTTCACGCGAAACCGGCGTGAACGAGGTTAAACAGAAATTTAGAAATGCAACCTATGCTTGACAATTTTCTCTTAAGTTTCTGGAGAATCTTTTTCCAACATCACATCCTTCTCTGGGAAATGTAAATTTAGGCGCTGATGCTCGCTTTCCATGTGTTGAGAAAGTACTGGAACCTAATTCCTTTCCTAAAAAAAAAGGGGGGTGGGTAGAATTTTACGATGAATTGTTATTTCATAACTTAAGCTATGTTATTAGATCATTAACTGCTCCTCCTTTCTTATCTCGTCTTTTCTGTCTAGCCAAAAGGGAAGGTAATTATCAATATCATCCGTTCCTATAAATAAAGAACTCTCCTGTGGCTCAATATACACTATTGACTCTCTGCACCGGCTGATTACTGATCAGGAAACTGCAATCGTAAATAGCAAAGAATTATCTGCCTGTGTATCAATGACAGTTAGTGATAGCTGTTAATGTTATAATATTACTATCCAAACGATTTTACTGATGTGGACGGTATAAGTATAAAATCAGTACCTAAGTTCTGTAATAAACGATATTTGTATAATTATCATCAGTTATCAGTCATAATTGGCTGATTGTTTGTTTGATTTAACAAATTCTGTTGCATAGTTATCGAATTCAATGTAAAATATTGACGTACTAAACAAACTGGTTGGTTCAAATAAATAAATGAATAGATAAATGGATTAACATCTTTTTCAAATTTGTTTTTCTCTTTCACGGCGTTCTTTTCGGATTCAAAAGCGGGTGAGTGCCACGAGTTCAGTTTGTTTGTTAAGCTTATGATGTGTTAGTCAAGTAATCCAAAGCCATATTAAGCCACTAATTTACTCATCAAATGTGAATATTTTTTTTCATGTTCACCTAACATCCTCATCCTAACTGATATAACAGATTGTAAGTAGCCATGCTTGAACTATCATTTATCAGTAAGCAGGATAAAAGGTCGATAAAGATGGATGAAAAAATGAATGAATGAGGGATTCAGACAGGATACTCTTCTCTGTGGATCAGTGGATGTGTGGACAAAGATGTTACATAGAAATAAAACTTTTTAATTGTTGCAGCAATTGAATTTCAACGTTTCAGGCCTCTGCCATATACTGATGGAACTTTTACAGTAAAGTTGAAAATTAAAAATTGAAAACGTTAAAATCTTAGTTTGTTTCTTTTAACATTTTTGCACAGTCATCCATTTGAGCAATAAAAACAATGTCACTCTCCTTGGCTTATAACATGATAAATCCCTGACAGGTGTTTAGAGAACACCAATGATGCGTATAAATAGGGAACTGTAAGTTGGGTGATTTATAAGCTTTAAGCCATCAATCTTTTTTAACTTGGAGATGTTACTTCGAAGTCTCCCCGGAAATTAGAAACTGGGGATATCGACGATAACAATTACGTATTTAGGTATCCTTTATGAGTAAAGAGCATAGGTAGGGTGATAACATGACATATGACTCTTTGCGCACAATTTGTTGTTTTCAAAGGTTGTATGGCGTGGTCATCTTGGAGTGGCGGCTGTAAAGAGTGCGGTCAGTACCGGCAAAGAGTCGGTAAGTGACAAGAGGGAGTGTTTAAGAATTTGTGACTCGAAAGTGTAATGGCGGGTTTTCGCCATTGTTTTACAACTTCCAAAACTATACAGCATTTATAAGTTTTTATTCAATTGAGTTAATTCTTGTGTATATATTGCATTTATAATTAGAAAGGAACCTTCAGCAGTTACTGCCAATGGATGTTTTCTTTACTAGAAATAAGATGACTTAATCTCCAACCGTTTATTACTTTTAAAAGATTATCTTGATATCCTTACTTCCAGAATTTAACTGCTCAAGAACTCGGGAATCACGACCTTGTAAATGTAAGTGGTTTTATATATGAGGAGAAAGTAAAATATTCATTTGTTGGTAGAAAATACTGCACAGATATCCTTCAACCGTCCTTTTATCAAACGTCAAACTCTTTGTTTAATATACTTTGGTTTTATCAACAGAGTTGGTAATTTAGATTGGCCACCGTAAAAATTATCAACGCTGACGTTTCGAGGTTTAGCTCTGACGAAGCGCTAACGGTCGAAACGTTAGCTTAGAAAATCTTTACGGTGGCCATTTTACATTTTCAATTTAGTTGATAAGACCCGAGATATTTTGGAAACTTACCCCCTTTTTCTTTATAAAAAGAAAAAAAATGGCTCGCACTGAATTAAAAAGATTTTATTTTTTCTGCAGGAGTTTCATTACTACCGATTAGATGCTAGATTTACATTTTGTCACAAAAAGACAAAGGCAATTTTTCTTTCGTAGAAAAGAAAGATCATTACAGTTTCATGTAGAACAGGCGTGATTTTCGCGAGCGGGAGCTGAGTATTTTTCCTTGGTGAAAATTATGGTTGCAAACTTTGATTTTAAGGGCAGGGGAGAGTTGGGAGAGAAAGACAGTTGCACTAAGATTGTGAACGAAGGTTAAAAAGAAGCAGAACGGGAGGGGGGGATAAGGATCGAGTTTTATATAATCATTACTTTCCTTTTCAAAATTAAAAAGGTCCTCCTGAAATAAATTTACGGGGAGAGATGTCTGTCAAATTAGATTCAACACTTCAAATTCAATGCTTCGTGAGGGGTTTTCCTAAATTAGAGGTGACTTGGACAAGCGATGGAAAGTTACTTGATACAAGAACACGCTCACGATTAATCGAATGACTTATGGCGATGCTGGTCAATACAAATGCAGCGCTAAAAGCAGTGAAGGAAAAACTGAAGTAGCTTTTCATATTACAGTTACAGGTTAATGTTGACTTACTTTTTTTTTTATTTCAGTTTCTATTCTCATTTTCTAATTTTTTTTTTATGCTTTCACCTTTTTGAATTGTACTTTTGAATTCTATGCCCAGGTCCTCCTGAAATTAATACTGAGCTCAAGAATCAGTCGGTTGCCTATAACTCGTCTCTTAAGTTCATTTGCTCTCTAAGCGGTTTCCCTACACCTGAGATACTGTGGACTAAGGATGGGGTTAATCGCGGTAACAAGAACACTCTCACAATTAATCGAGTGAGTTATGAAGATGCTGGTCAATATAAATGCAGCGCTAAAAACAGTGAAGGGAAAAGTGAAACAGCTTTTCATATTACAGTCACAGGTAAACGTTGACTTAATTTGTTTCCTTCAGTTGCTCTTCTTATTTTCTGACGTTTTTTTTTCTTTTTTTTTGTACTTTCACCTTTTTTGAATTGTACTTATGAATTCTATGCCCAGGTCCTCCTGAAATTAATACTGAGCTCAAGAATCAGTCGGTTATATATAACTCGTCGCTTCAGTTCATTTGTTGTCTAAGCGGTTTCCCTACACCTGAGATACTCTGGACTAAGGATGGGGTGAATCTCGGTAACAAAATCATGTTTGCAAGCTTTGATTTTTACGGCAGGGGAGAGCTGAGGAGAGAAGGGCAGTTGCACTAAGATTGTGAACGACGGTTAAAAAGAAGTAGAGGGGGAGGGGATGGGGATCAAGTTTTATATAAATCATTATCTTCCTTTTCAAAATTAAAAAGGTTCTCCTGAAATAAATTCTCGGCGAGAGATGTCTGTCAAATTACATTCAACACTTCAAATTCAATGCGTCGTGAGGGGTTTTCCTAAACCAGAGGTGAACTGGACAAAAGATGGAAAGTTACTTGATACCAGGAACATGCTCACGACTAATCGAGTGACTTATGGCGATGCTGGTCAATACAAATGCAGCGCTAAAAACAGTGAAGGGAAAAATGAAGCAGCTTTTTCATATTAAAGTCACAGGTGAATGTTGACTTACTTTTTTTATTTCAGTTTCTATTCTCATTTTCTTTTTTTTTTATACTTTCACCTTTTTTTGAATTGTACTTTTGAATTCTATGTCCAGGTCCTCCTGAAATTAATACTGAGCTCAAGAATCAGTTGGTTGCCTATAACTCGTCCCTTAAGTTCATTTGCTCTCTGAGCGGTTTCCCTACACCTGAGATACTGTGGACTAAGGATGGGGTGAATTGCGGTAACAACAACACTCTCACGATTCGCCAGGCGAGATTGAAAGACTCTGGTTCATACACCTGCAGCGCCAATAACAGCGAAGGAAGCAAAAACTCAACTTTCTGGATCCAAGTGGTGGGAGGTACGGTTCTTATTTACACATAGAAAGAACTGGAGTCGATAATCAATTTAGATCTTTGGTTGGATGAGGATAAAATCGTTTCCATGATACCAAATCAAATTTTAGGACTTGAAACCACAAAAATTTCAAAATTGACTAAAAATAATTAAAAAGTACTCAATTGATGATAACATTTAAAAGGCGAGAACATGCCAACTTACACACCAAATGTAAATGAATTTCGTGATCAGACACATGTTATTAATTTTTGGGCAGTTTAAACTGATTGCCTTTTGGAACGTCGAGCAATTTTGACTTTATAGATATCACCATATTTTGTCACGGCATTTATTATAAAAGTCCATTTAAATTTTTTAATTACCTTTTTTTCTGCTTCTTAAATACCAATGACTGACAAATCACGATTCATATACCATTTTAGACCTTAATTGCGTAGCCTCAGGTATTCCAACACCAACCTTCGTCTGGACTTTTAATAATGGTGACCTGCCATCTGGTATCAATCAAACCGATCACGAAGAAGAATCATTCCTAGTTTCGGCAAGTGTTACGAAAGGGATGAGTGGGACTTACAAGTGTACAGCAAAAAACAAAGCAAACAAAACCAGTTCCTCAGCAACTCTGCGTGTTTATGGTAAGTTCAGTTATAATGATATTGATGACGATGATGATGATGATGATGATGATGATGACGACGACGACGATGATGACGTTGATAATGACAATGATGATGTTGAAGATGAAGAAGAGAAATAGGGAGAGAAGAAATTAAGACAGAAAAATGAACTTGTAAGTCCATGGGCAATAGTGACGGAGAAAAGGAATAGCGCGAAGAGAATTTAGGCAAACTCGGCCCAGTTGTATAAATGGCAGATAACGCTATCTAACGGTTAAATATTTATTCGGTGAATGAGTGAGAGTGAAATATAAAGCGTTATCCACCAGATAGAGTTTTATCTTATGGATACTGTTATCTACCCTTCGATCGACCGGGGCCTGACCTTAAAAAAACGGGTGATACCAATGCTTAATACTAATGTCCTTGGATCTTTATGATTCCAAACGCAAAGAACTGCGTAGATTTGAGTAGGAAAGAAACGCCAAGGAAAGAGGACAGGTGATGGCGCTATAGAGAGTTGATTGATTCGAAATACTTGACGATGTGCAACGTACTTTCAAGCTAGAAAAATCTGAAGAAGAGAATTCCGAGACGGAGAGATCCAGAATCTCGGAAGAAAGCAAAAAGGAAGCGAGACGCAAAAGTCAAAATTACACACGACACACAATTGTAGTCTCTACATTAAACAACAAAACTAAAACAGAGGAAACTACTTAAAGCGAATACGCTTGTATCCGTGACCGAAATCGGAGGTCGAATAGCGATTAAGCATTCGAAAGAATTCCCTCGCACTCTCAATTCTCTTAGATCTCTCCAAAAAGTTGATTTATGGCTTTGTAACTCGTAATGTGGCTCAGCCAATGAGGATGGAGAATATCACAGAGTTAAGATTTAGGGATTTACAAGCTGAAAACGCATGAAATAAAATTTTTTTCTCAAGCTGGTCCAAGAAGCCGAGAGTCAATCAAATGGCGCATATCGCTTTTTTTTACGCGGGAGGAACTGCGTATCGTGCTTTTTCACCCGTGAAGCGTATGTTGTTCTTATTTATCACATAAACTGCGATGTTATATTGGGATTTCCGGCCCAGAGAAAAACCGAAACAACACACGTGAAAAAATATCGTATTTTTTCACGTGTGTTGATATAGCCAATAGGCTGCTGATACGTCACTCGCCTTTGGCGCCACTCGGTCAGGTTGATGAATGAATGGCAAAGCGTTCACGATTCTCGATACAACTTGTTTGTCGGAGCTTTCTCGAATTACGGCAGCTAAAACACTAAAAAATCCGTATCGCTAACAGACAGTAAAGTTCAAACTTTCCTAAAAGGCAAAGAAAACCAATATACTAAAAGAAAAACCGAAAGTTTCCTATTCGGTGGCTTTAGTGTTAGCATTTCTCTCGGCTGAGAATGAAAATCGACGACTGGAAGATTTTCTACTAGCCGATTTTGGCCGTTTACCTGAAAGACTTCTTCTGTCGGTAAGGACAAAGTCAATAAATGAGAATTTTGTTAATTGAAAATTACGAGCATTGTTGTTTTTGTAATCGTGATTCAACGCATTTTTCCATCTTGGGAGTTAGCGCCAACGCACTCTACGATTGTTATTCGGGGATTGTCGATTAATTTATATTCATTTATAAATGAAACCGGCTTTTCTTCTCAGTAAAGGGCTATTGTGTTTATATGATAAAAAAAAATAATACATGGGTGCTTATAGATATGGAATTTCTCTTCTCGTGTTCAACTCGACATCTCACTCATTCCCTGCGCTCACTCGTGAGCTATCGAGTTAAACACTCTAAGAGAAATTACATATCTACGCGCGCCTATGTATTATTCTCTATTAATCCTTCACCGGCATAGTTTCCGTTCGTAACATTATAAAAATCGGCTTTCAGGACTGTTTATTAAATCAAATTACTTACAAAAGATGACTGAGGAACCTCTGTGGAGAATTATGCGGAATAGAAAGCATACAGAGCAAAAACACAAAAGAGATAACAGCGAGTCGGTTTGTACAAGAAATCTCATTGGTTCGCTGCGCACACCCATTCGATTTCCGATACTACCAACTCGCGCGTTAAATACCATACGGACAGACTTTCCATGAAGTATTCTCTGTCGATTGAATTGTCATAACAGCTCTTGGTTCTAGTTCCGTCTATGATATCCACAATTTTTCAATGGAAATTTAACAGTGTCAGCTTGAAAAAATGTTGTAAGTCCACTCGAGAAAATGTAGTAAGTCCACTCTCCTCAGGAAGTGATAGAAAACCACCTCATGAAGTTGTTGTAGTACTTTAGAATTTAAACGGACGATCATCTACTTGAAATCAGACCCGCTACCGCAGTGCTTGAAAAGAAAAAACTTCGTGTTGCATGACTCACTTGTTGTGTCCATTTGACACAAGGGTATAGAAGAAAGAACAAGAGAAGATGGAACATTACCGAGACCTTAATTTAGAAGTTCAGCGGAGGATCTGGGGCGGTTGAAACAGTAATCAGGAAATTTAAAACATAAAGGTTTCAAGCTTGTTCTGAAAATCTTACGAAAACCTTACGAAACTCACAAGGAAATACTTTTTTTCTTTTTTTTTTTCATCTAAAGCAACATATTCGAAACATTATGCAGAAGGTCACATTTGATTCGTTTCGTTTCAATGTTTGTGTTTGTGTTTGTTTTTTGGTGTGTTTATAATGTAGTTGTAGTTTTAATGAGAAACCAGCATACTAATGAATTGCCCCTTTTTCAACGCAGGAAAAGCCTCTGCTCTACTTTTTCCAGAGAAATACATAACACTCACAAAAGGAGATACCCTCAAATTGATCTGCATAGTCAACGAAGAAACAATCAACATTATGTGGAAAAAAGATGGAGACCTAATAACAGAAAAAGCAGCTATAGAGACACGATTAGATGAGGAAAATAGTAAACTTGATATTACTGAGGTTGTGGAAGAGGACAGTGGTAAATATTCTTGTGAAGCACGTAACAAGCTAAGAAATGTGGCTCGCTCTGTTGTGACAGTAAATGTCAAAGGTAAGCTGTTTAAGGAACCACATATAATTTCAGTAATCAACTATGTAAGGTCATTATTATAAAATACACGTCCACCTCTTATGTTCCTCACAAGCTTTTCCAGTGGTTTTTTGGTCTTCTGGGAACTAGAAATTTGAAATGAATTAAATTTGAAAGAAATTAAAAAAACTGTTCCAAAACGAGTTTCAAACAGTAGCAGCATGTTATACATATTCTATAATTCTTTCACCAATCTTTCTCTGTCTATCTGCCTGTTTTTTGTAACTTAACACATCTGCGTCTGTTTTTCCATGAGTTATTCCCCGTCACCCAACGCAGCAATGAACAACGTAAATTGTTGGAACAAAAAAAAGTTAGCTCTCTATCTGGATAGTTGGTGATATCAATTTTTTGCCGACCAGCAAATTACTTTCCTATTAAGCTTCTTCTATTATTGTGTTTCAGGAAATTCAGAAGCTCCTTCCAGCAGCTTATCTTCCTCCAGCAGCTCACTGGAGTGGTACTACATTGCGGGACCTTTGGCTGCTGTCATTTTTCTACTGGCGTTCATTTCATACATTAAAAAACGCCGTGCTACAGGTAAAATGTTACCATACGAAAATAAAATGTCTTCATATGGCAGATTGTGGCTTTTAATACGTCAGTGTCTTGGAGCACGAAGGAGCTATTTTAAGAAGGTCATATTCTGCATTTCCAGCACTGATTTTGAAGGTCCCTCTACAGTCCCGGCAAAGCCCATTACTAATCAAATTACTAAAATGTTGCAAATTATATGAAACTAATGACCATGATAACCCACCTTATTCCTTCTCTCGTTGTTTGACCACAGAGTCAAATATAAGTCACACGTGGTTTCTGAGTCGCAAGCTTCAACTTAGTTAATGATGTCATTCTTACTCACAACTAAACGATTTCTTTCATCTCTTTCCACATTTCTTTTGATGATAGCCCCACCTGAGGTGCCACCTAGGCTGAAGTAAGTAAATTCTCTTTTTTTTTAATGCCCATTGTTTGAACGTGTAGTTGTATTCGAAGTTTCTAACTCTTGAATAAGTCTCAGGTGAGTAGCGATAAGCGCCACTGTTGAGAAAATAAATCTCTTTTTCAGTTTGGACCGATTATATTCACAATCAAGAGCACATGGGCCAAAATAAAAGATTTTCCTTTCGAAGCAGCAGCAGATTTCGACGCTGTTCTTATCAAATGGCAGTCAACTATTTCCCGACGTTCTTTCTGTTTTGAATTCCTCCGTCCTTCACTTGTTTTGACACCTTGTTTAGTATTTTTTTTGTTGTTACCAGTATGCTGGGTTGTGGGTGGCATACTTGTAAAGAAGAAGAGAAGCTTTGACCCTTCGTCACTGTTTGTTACAGAAACTACAGTTGAAACACACTCGGAGTCTTGTAGAACGATTTAAAATACCACTCGATATATCGATTGTAGACAATGCTTCGGATGGTTTTTGTTAGTATTTCATTTCTCGCGTAGGAGGCACGATATTTATATGACGTAAAATGCCGAAAAACACAGTCGGCGCTAGATTATCTTCAAGCGAGGTTTATTCAATCTTTTTCTATTTTTTTTTTAATAAAATCTCCTCCCTGGGTCGATGCGTCGAAAAAACGGGTTCAGTAAATTAGCATCCAAATTTCACCTATTTCAATAATTTTTCATTGGCAAGTGTTAATTTTCTGAAGCACCCGGAAAAGAATGAAAAGAAAAAAAATTTAAATTGAAGATATAGAGGATATATTTACCACGTTATGTTAAACCAGATTCAAAGAAGGAAAAGATAGATAGGTAACACAGATAGTTAAAGTCTTGTTTTCATCTGCAATTATTCAGTGAAGGGGAAGATGAAGTTGAGATGGATCAGCTGAACGCAAACACAGACGGATGGGAGATTGCAGCTGACCGCCTGATCCTTCGCGAGCATATTGGCAAAGGGGCATTTGGTTCAGTGTGGCGAGCGCTACTGGGTCGTTCCGTGGCAGACCTGGAAATCGCACAGTTGCTGCGAAATGCTACCTACGTAAGTACTTTTTCAGGTCTTTCTTTTATACAAAGCTTGATTGAACTATCCTTTATTAATTTTTTGAGTAAGTTATCCTAATAAAGAGTATTTCTCTTAGAACATGCTTTATTAACCTACCTAATACATAACATGGATAGCTTAAAAACTATGCGCTGTTCAAATGATTTATCAGCTGGCATGTCAAATTAATTGTTAGCGGATGGTTCCCGGGGGGACCAGTTGTTAAATCTTTTGTCATACAACGCTACTAAAATAGAAAAGAACACGAATATCATTTGGAGTATAAGAAGCTGTGGAGAAAAATGAAAATTTATCGAGTAAATTGCATTCAAGTGTATAAAAGCGGAAAATACTACAATACTAAAAATGTCACTCTGTCGTATATTTTGCAAAGTTGCCCGCTCAGAAACTTTTAGTGGGAAATAATGTCATGAGACCTCAAAGAAACCTTGAGAGGGTGAGTCTAGCGGAAAAAATTCGGAGCCATTTGCCAGTCTAGTGGTGGTAGTATGATCTTCTTGCGCTGGACAAGCTGAAAATCCCAATGCAGTAGAACCTGTATGAAGCGGTCACCTTGTAATAAGCGGTCAGTTTTGAAAGTCCCGAAACTTTCCTCCTTTACTTATAGTACTTTTTTATATCAAGCGGTTGTGGTCACCTTTTACTAAGTCCCAACAGCCTATTTGTAATGTTCCCTACCTTTATCGAACGGTCACTAAAGCGGAAGTAATCAAATAAAATTAAGAATAATCTTTCAAGTAAAATTTAATCCATGTTTATCTCCCGAAATCAATGTTAGGAATATTTTTGAGCGAGGTTGTGTATGTTAAGTGGTCCGTGATGACATAGAGTGGCATTTTTTAAACTTTTATCAATAGTAGCCCTATTCCGTGGAACCTATATTAAACGGTCAACCATCCCCGCGCGTGACCGCTAAATACAGGTTCGGCTGTAACAAACTTACAGAGTCAAATGAATTTATAATAACTCTGGGAATGCTTACGAATTATTGTAGCTTTTAGTAAGATAAAAGCAAGGATTATCTAATTTATGACCTGTAGGAAACAAAAAGGCGCAAACAGAGCATGTATTTAAAAAAAACTGTCTCAAATATATATTCGACCGACTATTAGGTATTATAACAGATGGAATTTCTAGGCTTAATTGCGTCTCTACTTTTGTAAGTTATCTGTAAACAATTGCACGGTTCAATGGGCTTGCCTAGTTAACAACAATGCTCGAGATGCGCAGCGTTTTCTTAGCAAATATTTTTTTCAAGGAGGATGAATCTATTTTGGAAATTTCATGTTCAATAAATTGAACAATACGGCTAACTGACATTTTTGTGGCAAGTATGGATTATATGGAGTTTAGTAAACGAATTTTTTTTTTTTATGTAGACCAAATGCATTATAATTTGCGCTGGTAAGATAACACCAAGCATACAACAATTCCAGATGTGGATGTTTACCACATAATTAATTGTGTCTCTCTTGACATGCAAAGTTTGTTTGTTTATCTAGTTTTTGTGTGGTTTCCTAGCAATCTCCGGAGAGAAAGGAATGAAGGCCCTGCTGAGAGAGATCGAGTTATTAAAACTCTTTGGAAGGGAGGGCCATGAAAATGTTGTTAAGTTCATTGGTTGTGTCACAGTTGGAGGTAATCAGCTATTGTTATGATTATAATCAGCTAATTCACAGCAACGATAGAGACATCTCTGAGTTCAACCACTGGTACAATTACTTCTATCAGTATTTTTAGTCTTTGCTAAGATGGTGTACTAATTCAATGGTTATTTTCAATTTTTTGACTTTTTTAAATGAATTTACTTCGCATTGTATGAGGGGCATATTACTTGGAAGATGTTAGCTCTAAAATCTACATGCTAATTGTGATAAAAACTTCAACTTACGATGGCAAGTCTTTGTCTATTTATCTGCCATCTCTGTTTTTTCTGTCTGTCTGTCTGTAGATTTCTACCGGCCGTATTTGTCCGTCTATTTTCTATCTGTGTGTTTTCTTCTTTCACTTTCCCTCTCTGTCTCTACTTCGATTCATTACAGATATAACTTGAGGTATGACCAGATAAAGCATGTACAATTCAAACACGTGTTGGAACTTCTGCACTGCTTGCCGTAAAATAATTTTCTTGTTTTTCCCTTTTAGCTCAGCCAATACTTATCATGGAGTACCTGTGGCGAGGTGACTTGCTGGGTTATCTCAGAAAATCCAGGGGGGTTTTCGACCAATATCATCATGGGGTCGGAATTGTCGACCACTTGACAACATATGACATGGTGCTGTTTGCTAAACAGATCGCACATGGTATGACTTTCCTCGCGTCCAGAGGGGTAAGTGCTCAAACTCTTTCTGGTCAGCATGTGGTCCTGCATGTGATAAAATGGCATGACTTGCAAATCGCCAAAGTAATACTCCATACGGCTAAAAATATCCAGCACATTAGAGTCACTATTTCACAGAGAAATGGTCTGACATTAGCATGACGTTAAACTTTCTACCTATATTTTACTTTTTTATTTTATGTAGTTTATAAAAGTCCCTTTTAGCAGATCATATAATATTTGTTTTCGATTTCAGATAATTCATCGCGATCTTGCAGCTCGTAACATCCTTCTTGATGAGCATCGTGTCTGCAAGTTGACTGACTTTGGGCTCTCTTATCAGGATTTCAAATACGGCCCAGGAAATGCCAAGAAGGTAATTTTCAGGATTTTTTCATCATTTAGTCAATTGGTTTTGGGGCTGCTGGTATGGAAGATAAAAATGTGAAGAATTAAAATATTACTGTCCTTAAAAACCTTTCTTTTCAGTTATACAGTCTTACTGCAAAACATATTTCCCTTTAATGGGAAGCCATTCTAAGCGTATCGAAGCTTTCACAGAAAAAAAAAGAATGAACACAGGAAATAAGAAAGCCGGAAGAGATATCGTTCTCTGAATAACAAAGATACAAACTCGAAGGGCAAAGTAACAGAAAAATTTAAAGCAAAAGGAGTGTGTGAATTGTTTTCATAGAATTTGTACAAAGGTGTCTACTGCTATTGACTTTATCGTGAATCCTCACATCACGGTTTTAATCTGATATACAAATTATTTTAGGAGTTGTATACAAGCCTCTTTAGATTTCAGATGTTTATAATATTTTGGTTGCTCATCCAGGGATGTATCCCAATCAAATGGACTGCACCCGAGATTCTCTTTGGACATGTGGAACAGCTGTCAACCAAAAGCGATGTGTACGTACTGTATTGGTTATTATCTACATATATTCCTAGAGTGAATATTTTTTACGATTCTACTTTAACGTAGCGAGGGAAACTAGAATATTCAGTGCTCTATTGATTACAGAGTCATTAGGAAACGTCAAGCTGAGGTACAGCTGAGGTTACAGTTGTAGTATGAGACTTTATATGAATATTAAGTTTAACGACCACTATCCAAAATCTGATTAGGACAAGAAAAGACGGATGAAAGGATGAGTGAATAATCAAACTAATAAATATGGCGTTTTCTCCTAGGGAGGTTGATTATATCTTGATGGCATGTTTTTAAACATCCCAAGTATCTGAGTAATTATTATCTTTCTAATCCAGTTGAGATATATCGTCATCCTTCCATTTCTTTGACAGGTGGTCCTACGGCATCGTCTTGTATGAAATCTTCACTGTCGGTACTTAACTTATTTGTTACTTTATATTCAGGAAATATACTTGCCGAAATTGCACGCATAATTACTAACTGATGAGTGATACCGAGCGGGCAAAAGAGCATTGTACAATAGAGAAGTAGAAGCAACACTCAATGGCGCTGATAAATAAAATTATGACGATGCATAGCAACTTGAAATAAAGCTTAAGTTTAAGTAGAACTGAAAGTATTTAGTACATTATTGAAAAACCTTAAATCCATCGCTACACTTAAATTTGTTTTTTTTACAGTACTCTTTCATCTGATGTAAAACCGAAATGTATTTCAGCAATTAATTGTCGTTTTGACAGAAGAATCTTTCGATCGCGCTGAGAGGAATGAAAGTGATTACAACAAAAAAAGTGTCCTTTTTTGGCCAACAGAAAAAAACATTATTTTTCCACAGGAGGCATTCCTTACGATGGATGGTCTCAATCCACGACAATGAAAAAAATCGAAGAAGGTTATCGTCTGCCAAAGCCTGAACATATCGACGACAGTTTGTAAGTGTTGCTTCCTCTGTATGGGATGTTATATAAGTCAAAAGCAACATCGATTGCTGCTGTGGTCAGGTGTTTTTGATACACTCGCTCTGAATAAGTAGCCTTCCTAAGAAATTAATTTTATCTAATCACTACAAAAATTAAAATGAAAAGTTGTTGAGTCAAATAAAGAATACGATGGGTTTTTCATCACAGAATTCGTTTGAGCTGTAATGTAATGAGATAAACTTAGCATTTCAGTTATTTTTGTAACTAGTTGTGGTTTCTCAACTTTGCTACTCGCAATATTAATGCCTACTGCAGAATTACTGAGATCATATGTCCCTGTGTTTTTCTATAGATACGCGGTGATGTTAAGCTGCTGGAAATACGAAAGCGCCAGCCGGCCACACTTTGTGAAGCTCTACCAAACAATGGATACATATATTAAAACAAAGGTTTGCCATACAGCGTCTAATTCAGTATACACTTCAGAAATTGAAATTTGTATCCTACCAAGTCAATTGCGAATTTCTTTTCACGTCAATGTGATGTCAAAACGCATTAACTACCTAGCCGCTAACAATTTGTGAATTCAGTTTAATTTCATCATGAGCCAATGTTACTTTTAAACATATGCAAGTGTGGTTACGTTATGTCAGTCTGGATCATCCTTATTTTCCCTCTGTTGTTTACACACAAGAAAGAACGGAACAGATCTTAAAATAACACTTTTGGAAAACTTTGACAGAAAGGAAGACCATACCTGACTTTCAATTCATGCAAGTACTAATGGTTCTTGTCTTTGTGATTGATATCTGATCTGCTCTTTTTTTTCTTTTTAGTGACTCATTTTTGGAATTTCTTTGTTGAATTTTTTAAATTCATTCGTTCAAGTTTTATTAACTCCTGCAGTTCTTGATTACCTTCTAATCTTTTTCATAGACATATGTAGATATCTTTGACGATGACAAGTATGATCAGGATAAGTACAACTTTGTCGATGACCGTGGAGCTGTTGCAAACCCAGAAGATGCAGGACCGGACGAGCAAGGAGCAGCTGCAGCGAATCCCATCGGTGAAGTGGGTGAACACGGTGCTACGGCACATCCCTTTCTGGTTGCAGTGGACGATGATGCTACAGCTTTCCCTCTTGGAATTAACGTAGGAGACGAAGGAGCACCTGCAACAGATCCCGACCGTGAAGTGGGTGAACACGGTGCTACGGCACATCCCTTTGTGATTGCAATAAACGATGGTGCTCAAGCTTTCCCTTTCGCTATTAACGTACCAGAGAAAGGGGCAGCTGCAGCAAATCTCTCCCATAAAGTGGGTAAGCACGGTGCTGCTGCACATCCCTTTGTGATTGCAATTGATGATGGTGCTACAGCTTTCCCTTTCGCTATTAACGTACCAGAGGAAGGAGCAGCTGCAGCAAATCTCGCCCATGAAGTGGGTAAGCACGGTGCTATTACACATCCCTTTGTGGTTGCAATTGACGATGGTGCTACAGCTTTCCCCCTCGCTATTAACTTACAAGACAAAGGGGCAGCTGCAGGAAATCTCGCCCGTGAAGTGGGTAAGCACGGTGCTACCGCACATCCCTCTATGGTTGGAATTGACAATGGTGCTACAGCTTTCCCTCTCGGAATCAAAGTAGAAGAAGAAGGTTGCGCAGCATACCCTTTTGAGAGTGATAAGAAAGATATAGATGCCCAAGCGTACCCTTTGGAGAGTGATACTTTACCATACCTTAGCGAGAACGAGGAAGAAGATGTTGATGACTCCGAGTGCCCTCTTGCGATTGAGGAAAAAGAAATTGATCCTTTACCATCCTCCCTGGTGATGGACGAAGACGGTCTAGCTGCTTCAGCATGTCCCCTTGTGACTGACGAAGAAAATTCTGATTCTCTAGCATGCCCCCATGTGGTTGAGGAAGAAGATTCCAATAACTCAGCATGCTCCCCGGTACTTGGGGAAGAAGATTTGGAAGCCACAGAATGCCTTTCTGTTACTGAAAAAGAAGATCCAACCTCTTTCGCACGCTCCGCAAATGAGGCGAACAAACCCGATGCCTCACCATTCCCTCGTGTGATTGAAGAGGAAGATCTTGATTCTTTAGAATACAATCCTCTGATCGAAAAAGAAGGCGTCAGTGATTTCGTGTTCCCTCCAGAAAATCAAATTAATGACGAAAAAGGTGTAACAAGTGAACCTGAAAATACCGTTGGTTATGAAGGTGCTGTAGCAGTTCAATCTGAAAAGGAGGCAGGCGAAGAAGAACCTAAGACTTGCCTACTAGAGTACACGAAGGATGAACAAGACGATCTTGGAAACTATATGGACGACCAAAGTGATGCTTTAGACCTTTTTGACGGAGACGCTGGCTTACAAGAGTATGATGCTAATCAACTTACTGCTGCGGATATAGACGAAACTGGAAGTGACGAAGACGAGGAATCATCTGAAGCAACTCCTCTTGTGCAGGACTGAGGCTTAATAGCAGAATTGCTGAACCTCTAAGGTTGTAGTCTTATAACACTTTGTGGTAATTTTTAGTTTATATTTCGAGAATTTCAGCCTCAATATTTCATAGTTTTTTATTTTAAGACGCAAGTTTTTTCGTACTTTTACTTTAGTAATGCTTTGGTAGTGATGATAACCATTTTCATAGTTTATAAATGGAGGTTAAGTAGAATTTCCTTCAAAGAAAAAACTTGTTTATTTACTTCACTTTTGCATTTCTTAGTTTACCGTTTATTCACTTGGTGCACTTGTCGGTGCTTTGTTGTTGATGTTATTGACTGTAGGCTGATAGAGACAAAAAAAAAAGAAAAAAAAAAGAAATTGCTGTTAAGATAATTTTTATAACTGATCAAGCCAGAAATGCTGCGTAAGTTTGTGAGTGTTGTTCCTAGTATAAGTAATATTTCCTAATCTAATTAAGAATAATTTACTTCTTGTAAAGCACGCCCTAAATGCTTCAATAAACTTATTTAAGCTAAACTCGTTTCGTTTACTCCATTCATTGCAGCAAAATTGCTGGTCTGGATCTAACTGTAGATTTGAAGGATACCATAAACTAAAATGACATCTGGCCTCCTTCAAAGAGTAAGATTGACGAAAATCCAGTAGCGCTGCGTTAGTTCTGATAAGTGTATATATTTTTCTATTCCCAGCTTACGCTCGCTTAGCAACCAGGAGTAGCATATCCTCAAAACATTATTAACCCAATACATTTTATCCTTTTTGTAGACAGCTACTGACTCACTCGCCTTTTCAATCGAGTTTTCTATTCCAATTTATTGATTAGATAGGCGGTATTAAGCTGATTAGTCTTGAATGTTGTTATTTCACATCACTGCTTCTAATCATTGTCTGAGAAAAGTGTTTTAGAAGTTTGAAACATAAATGACCCCATTGTGATGATTCTTAGTGCAGAAGTTGGCCTAAGGCAGATATTCCAAGTGCCAAGGAAGCATGATTTTTTACTTTTTATCTCCACAGTTTCAGGCATTTTGGCGTCTCGGGATATTGTGTTTGAATATTGTTGACACTAATCGTACTTTCCTGGTGCACCATGTCAGCAAATATGTCGAGTTAAATCAAGCAATAGATGGCGTTTTCGAGAAACACAGACGAGCTAATATGATAATGGATTCTCATTCAGTCATTTTCAGTTGTTTTTTTCACGAGCACTAACATATAATGCTGACATTGCCTAACCCATTACTTCAACTTTCATCTTGAGAAGTACTGTGCTATGATTTTTAGAGAAATAGGCAACGGCAGTTATTTTCTTTCTGTCCGTCGTCGTGTTTCATGACATGAGCAAGGCCTTTGACAAAATAAACGAGGGCATTTCGGCGTGGCTTAGTTCATCATTAATCCATCTGTTAGAAAACAAGTAGCGCTCATAAATTCTGAGTCCCTGACTCTCTGGTCTTTGAATCCAGAGTGCCACAAGCGGTTATTCCATGACTTGTTTTGTTCAGAATTTACGTAAATGACTTTTTATATGCCCCTCAATCTTGTTTTACTGAATATTATTGGATGATACTAAACTTCAGATTTCTCTCCCAGTTCAAGGCTGGGCTAAGACAACAATTTTTTTTCTGGGACAGGGAGTGTCCTTTAAATGAAAGTGAAATAAAACCACGATCGTCGATCAAAAGATCGGTGGTGACTCTGATGTCGATCTCAAAAATTTTGGTTTTTGCCTTTTTTCAGTATTTATCTCTTTGACTGTTTAATATGCTTATATGGAAGTATTTATCGTTTAGATAGGGTTTTGAAATTTCTGCACACGAAATTAAATTAAATTTTTTTTTAATTTGAATCTCCCGCAAATCTGACATATGTCGATCCATATATAGATATAAGGAACCCAAAAGTAGTCACTAAAACGTTACTCCGCACATCCTTCTCCATTCACCTCCAGGGGATTTGCGCCCAAAAATGTTGTGAGTATTACAGGAATAAATTATTCAAAATCATCTTTTTGTATTATTTTATCTCACAGTATTAAATTATATACAAAAACAAATATTCATCTAAGTGCCGGTGGCTAGGGGTAGATATTTACATCTGCGCTTGGCAGCTTGGTAAATATCCACCACTCGTTAACTCTACCTTGGTGAAGGGTTAAGAAATAATCATTTGATAAACTTTCAATAGGGCGATTGGCATCACAACTTATCGTAATAATGCAAACATTTCCGAGAAGACAATATTGGAAAATGGATCATTTTTCTATCCATATCTTGTAAAATTAATGTCAATGAAGGAAATATAAATAAACTTGAAAGGTCTTGGCTGGCCACCAACACCAGCACCTGTACAACAACAACTGAAGTGTGTCAATAATCATGTATTGTTACCCTTGGTGTTATCAAAACAAGCGGCTGACATATCTGTCAACCAAAAACGGTTTATTTATGCGACTAAGAATAAAGTATTTGAAAGCCTAATGACCCAATTTGCCAGTCTCTAGCTAAATACTATAACAGCTACCGATAAGTAAGCACGTAATACTTCTTAAAAAACCGTCAGAAGGAGACAGATTGTGCCTTTCTGTGAGAGCGTAGCCGGTTTTAATGACTAAGTTATTGAGTCATTACGCTTTGTTTTTGGAAGCAGATGTGAACTGTTTGTGGAAAAAAAAATTTGTTGAACATTGATAAGGGCTGAGACGACCGCTGGTGTTTTCATCATAAAGTTAATGTTCAAGAAAACTTAAAGTTTAGCTAAATCTCGTTTTTTATTATTCTCGAATTTAATAATACCAAAATATAAGCCATTTAATTACCAATCAGCCATTTTTGTAGCGTCCTCAATTCGTGAGATGTTTCATGTGGTCTTATTTGATATTCAAGCACGACGCATTTTAAAATAAAGGTTAGACATATTCATCTTGAGGCTTTTCCTCCTGATTGTGGGGAAAAGTCAGCTGAAAGAGGCCAAAAATGCAAAAGAAAGCAGTGGTTCACTGTGACTGTATAAATAGAGAGGTCAGAACTGAGGCGGCCAAAAAGGAAAAGAAAATAACAACCTTCCTTGCTTAAAAGCGCCGCCAGCAAGAGGACTAAAGGGGCCGCACAAATGTACGGGGTAGACTCTTTTAAGGTTTTATTCGACAAAGTTGCTTCGCACTTCGCTGAAAACGGTTTGTTCAGTCAAAATGCGAGATATTAGATTTATGTATGAGAGAACAGGGCATATCGAGCAAAGACAAGTCCACAATTAACGTTTATTTATTAATTTTGTTTATGCATGGGCGATCTTTAAATAAGTATTAGAAACCCGTCCAAAATAGATAGAAAGAATCAATTCTCAATCAATATCTCATTTTATTTCATGGCAAAAAAAAGAGACTAATTGATGTTATGTCTTCCTCTTCTTCTAATTCTCCTTCCTGTAAAGAGAACATGGAAAAGAAAAATAAATTTGTATTCCTCCTCATATTGCAATAGAGTTTTCGACTCTGTAAGTGCAATTACTTGTCAGCATTCAATGATTCTTTATTGATTAATATGAAAATTCGCCAAAAATTATTTCTTTAAGGACACGGAAGTTTTTCCATATAAGTAAAGGCGACCTCGAATCACGAACAACAACAAAACGCCCTGGCTGTGTCCTTTACTGCCTTTCTCACTTCTGTGATTTTCCAACAATAAAGAAAGGGATTCAGAGATGAGTTCAGATAAACTAAAGTTTTCGTAAAGAGTCACAGAGCATGAACTGCTGATCCACTAAGTACTGTATGTCTCAATATCGACACAATTATAAAAGGGGTGTAGCATGCCACTAAAGCCAACCGCACCCAAAATATGCTGGAAACTGTTTTCTGATATTGTTTGATGTTTAGTTGAACTCTCCCGTTTAATCTTTGTTTTGATGAACCTTTTGCTGTCCATGCACGTACTCTTCCCCTTCCTGTACCTTTTACTCCTGCTCCTTCTTCTGTGGCTGTTATTGTCCCCGTTATTGCGCCTGCTTCATCTTTTCCTACTCCTATATCTTCTCCTGCGTTTGACCGTCCCTCGCCAGGGTTGTCTTCCACTTCAGCCTGGTACCGCTGTAATCTCAGGTGGATCTTTACGTCGCAAAACACGGAAGTAACCAGAGATACCACAACGGCCACAAAAGCAACAATCTCCGAAACCGTTTGACTCCAGACACGAACCAATCCGCATAAAACAGCAATTATCCAGCATAAAAGTAAAACAGCTTGAGTTCACTCTAGTGTCACAACTTGTCTGTATCTCAGCCTCAATAACAGATCAAGAAGTCTGTCAACACTGATGGCTGTTGATATCAGTACAGTCACTCTAAACAAAACATAGTTGGATATACAAACAACCTCTTCGACGTAATACAAATATCTATGTCGGTGTTACCAAGATCAATGTAAAGAAATAAAACAGTCACGAACAGAGGTTGTGAAAAAAGACCCACACAAAGATCGGTAGCGGCTACATTCAAACAAGACCTTTGCAGCGGGATGCAAAGAGGACACTTTATAAAATGTTAATAGAAGCAGAGCATTACCAAGAGATGCAGCGAAGGAGAGGACAATGTTGAAAGCGAGGAGAAATGCTACTACTCCAATTGGTAGTTGTGAAGATAACTGGCTTGTGAGGATCGCCATTGGCGCTCACGTTCAGACTTGTGGCTCTGTCTTTTCCTCTTTTGGCAGCAAATGAACGTTTATTGGGCGATCCGTATTCGATATAAGAGTATTCTTGTTTTGTTGAGAATTTTAACAGTTTCTATTGGATAAAAAATTCCTCCTGTTGTCTGATTTTCCGATGACAAATGTCACAGCGATAATTAGACTTGTTTTTCGTGTTTTTTTCACTCTTTCGTGTTTTATTCATATTCTTCGAATTTTCATCATGTTTAGTGAGCGGGTGCCACATTTATTTAACATGCTAAATGACGTAGAATCTGTGAATTATTTTTCGCCGATACTTTGTAGAGCTTCCTCAACA